ATCAAATACTTTTTCTGCATCTATTGAGAAGATCCATATGGTCCTTGTTTTTGCTTCTATGCTATGGTGAATTGCAGTTATGGATTTGCATCCCTGAGATAAAGCCTACTTGATCGAGCTGTATATATATTTTTTAATGGGTAGCTATAATTTGCTAAGATTTCATTGAGTATTTTTGCATCAATATTTAGTAGTAAAAGTGGTTTGTAGTTCTCCTTTTTAATTGGGTTCTTTCTTGGCTTTGGTATCAGGATGATGTTTGCTTCATAGAACATGTTGGGGAAGTTTCCTTCCCTCTCAGTGTTGTGGAATAGTTTCTGCTCTTTGAAGGTTTGAAAGAATTCTGGTGTGAAGCCATCTGATCCAGGGCTTTTTTTGTTGGAAGTTTTTTTATTGTTTCTTCAATTTCATTGCTTGATATTGGTCTCTTCAAGAGAGCTGTTTCTTCCTAGTTAAGTGTGTGATTCCAGGTATTGGTCTGTTTCTTCCATCTTGTCAAATTTCTGGGCATAGAGTTTTTTTGTAGTAGTCAGAGATAATCTCTTGTATCACTTGGTATCTGTTATTATTTCTGCTTGATGGCATTAGAGATCTTACCTCCTAGTTTATTTGACCAGAGGTTTATCGATTTTGTTTATCTTTTCAAAGAACCAACTTTATTTCATTAATTTTCTGAATGATTCATTTGTTTTTAGTGTCATTTGTTTCTGATTTAATTTTGGTTATTTCTTTTCTTCTGCTTGATTTGGGGTTGGATTGCTCTTTTTTTCTTTTTCTTAAGATGCTTCATTAGTTGTTTATGTGCTCTCTGTCTGTTTTAGATGTAGGCATCTCATAAGACAAATTTCCTTCGTTGGACTGCTTTTGCAGTATCTCACAGGTTTGGTACCTTGTGTCTTCATTGTTCTTATATTTGAGGGATTTAATAATTTCCTCTTTTATGTACTCCTTGACCCGACATTAAGCATAAGGTTGTTTAGTTTCCATGCCTTTGTGTGGGGATGAAAATTTTTGTTGGAGTTCAGTTCCACCTTTATTGTCTTGTGGTCTGAGAAAAGAACTGAAAGATATATTTTCAGTTCTTTTATTCTTTTTGAGATTTTTGGAGTATGATCCATGGGCTGTCGAGAAGAACATATATTCCTTAGCTTTCAGATGGTATGTTCTATATATGTCTATTAAGCCCAATTGTTCTAGGGTCACATTTAAGTTCCTTGTTTCTTTGTTTGGTTTCTGATGAGCGGTTCTGTCCAGCTCTGTAAGAGGAGTGTTAAAGTGCTCTACTATTATGGTGTTATAGAAAATCATCTTGTTCAAACCAGTTAAGATCTGTTTCATAAATCTGGGAGCATTTAAGTTGGGTGCATAAATATTTAGAATTGAAATGTCCTCTTTTTGTATTGTTCCCTTGACCCGTATGAAGTGACCATTTTTGTCTTTCTTTAGTTGCTTTAAAGCCCCTTGTATCTGAAAGTAAGATTGCAACCCCTCCTTTCTTCTTATTTCCATTTCTGAAATATTGTTTTCCAGCCCTTTACCCTGACTCTTGTTTTGTCCTTCAAGGTTAGGTGTGTTTTCTGGAGACAGCATATAGTTGGCATGTGCTTTTTTTATCCAATCAACATCTTTGCTCTATAGGAGGAAATTGAAGTCATTTACATTTATCGAGAGACTTGATAAATGTGGTGGAGATTTATTCATCTTATTTTGTGAAAGTTTGTGGCTTCATTTTGTCCATAGTGCCATTGCGGAAACTAGATTTTGTCCTTTAGTTTCTGGTTTACTTTGCTGGTGATCCTTTGTAGAGAACAGGTGCAAGTATTTACTATAGAGCTGATCTTGTGGCAGATTTCCTCAGTGTTTGCATGTCAATAAAAGATTTGCTTTCTCCATCAAATTTGAATCTTAGTTTAGCAATATGCAGAATTGTGGGCTGCAAATTTCTTTAAGAAGGTTAAAGATAGATGACCATTTTCTTCTGACTGACTTGATAAGTTTCAGCTCAGAAGTCCTATACTTGCAGGTCAATTGGCACTTACTCTTAGCTGCTTACAGAATTTTCACTTTCATCTTGACTTTGGACAGGTATATTATGGTGTGGGTTGGAGGTGCTCTCTTTGTGTTGAGATAACCTGGTGTTTGATATCCCTCTAAAAGAACTATGTCGGAACCTTGGGTCATGCTTGGGAAATTTTCATTTATCATATTCTCTAGTAGGGCTTTCATTCCTTTGGGTCATTCTTCTTCCCCTTCAGGGATAGCTATAATTTGTATATTTGAATGCTTCATGAAGTTCCATAGTTCTCTAAGTGAACTCTCTACTTTTTCTCTCTCTTTTTTTTTTTTTTTTTTTTTTTTTTTTTTGCCTATTTAAATGCCTGGCTTAGCTTGAGAGCCTTATTCTCAAGCTCTGAGATTCTTCTTCATGGTCTAATCTGTTATTGATACTTTCTACTGCATCTTTAAGTTCCCTGATTGCCTTCCTTTAATTCCTTACACTCTGTTATATCCTTTCTAATTTCTTCATATCTTTTATTCATTATTTGGGTTTGTTTTTTGATTTCCTTTTGATTATTTTCCACTTTACCTTCAATTTTCTTCATTGTTTTTGCCATCCATATTTTAAATTCCCTTTCTGTCATTTCCATTATTTCTTTATAGGTATAAGATCTGTAGTAGATACCTCATGATCTGTTGGTGGGGGAACAGAAAAGGATTGACCTTTTCTGATTTTTCATGATGCCAGAATTTTTCTGTTGGTTTTTCCTCATGTGTGTTTTCTTCTTGTTCATTTCCTTTCCCTACTTTTTTCCTCTCACTTCCTCCTTCCCTTTAAATTACATGGTCTCTGTGTTTAGGTGTTGAAGTGCCCAAATTGGTATAAGGCCAAAAAGAAAAGAATAAGAAATGAGAAGGGAGAAGAGAAAGAAAAAGAAGGAAAAAAGGGAGGAGTGAAAGGAAAAAATTAAAGAAAAGAAGAAAGGAAAAACAGAAAGAGAGAAATGGGAGTAATAGTGGTATTCAGCAGTGTGCTTTGACACACATTCCTAGTTCTAGGACTCTGGAGTACTAGGCTGGGGGCTTCCCTAAAAGTCAGGAGCTTCTTACTAGCCTGAGCAAAAGTAAGTTCCCACCTCTGCCAAATATAGAAAAAAAAATTAGCAGTATATCAGAGTGGGGACCTACTGATACCGTCCTTCCAAAGGCCAAAGCTGGACGGACAGCCTAGACCAGGGGCTCAAGGCCTTCTTGAGCCAGGCTAATGCCGTGGCACCCCATCCTAGGCTCTGTGATGTCCCATAAATAGAATATGGAATGAAATAGAGTAAAACCAGGAAAAAAATAATAACATATAAAGAAAATTCAAACTAAAATAGATGTAAAAAATTTTTTTAAAAGTGATATCTTAGTTATTTGAGAAATTTATGTGAGAAAGATGAGAAAAGTAGAAAAATCTCTACATAATAGAAAAGAAGGAAATAATAAAAGGGGCAGAGAAACCATAGCAAAAGCGAGCCTCTTGCTATTGAATAAAGTGAATATGAAAATATAAAAATACAACAAAGTAAAGCAAATAATAAAAACTAAGGAAAAAAATTTAAAAATTATATATATTCCAGTGTATTGCCTGGACACCAGTTGGTACTCTAAGAAGATAGAAAAAAAGATAAAAGAGATATATAATGCAATATATTGCCTGGACACTAGGTCACACTCTGGGGTCAGGAGACACAAAACACACACTGGTATATAATATGGGGGCCAGAAGCCACTATCTAGTTGCCAAGGAGGCCTGGTCCTATATTCCTGATCTATTTGTTTTCAAGAAGGTCTTAGTTGCTTTGTTGGCATTCAATCTCCACAGGGTTGGGAGCCTGAAGTTCTTGCTAGAGTATGTAGGAGACATGCCTTAACCTTCCAAACAGTGAGTGACCCTTGGCCACAAAGTAGCTTGCCAGGGGGAAGAGAAGCTGCCTCACTTCCCCTCAAGGGTTGCTACCTATGCCAGAGCTGGCCTCACCCTAGGACTTGGTGGGCTATCCTTTTGGGCAGACCTCCCACAATGGCAGCACCCTGCTAGCAGCCCAACCACTGAGAGCTCCACCCTCCCACCCCCATGGCTTAGTTCCAGCCACCAGTACTGTTCAAGTTTACTCACTTAAGCCCTCCAATTTTTGGCATTTGGATCTTTTTGACATTTATTTTCTACCTTATTAATTCTAGCTTCACCTTAGTATTATCTAACTCCTCCTTTGGTTTTAACTGACTATACTTTCTCTAACTTTTTGAGATGAATACACTGATGTTCAGCCTTCTTATTTGGTTATTTGTGCATTTTAAAGCACACATTCTCCTAAGCAAGACATTAGCTGCAATCTACAAAAAGTCTTCATCTGGTAGATTAAAGTATCTAGGTTTGCTTTTATTTATTGTTTTATCCACTGATTTTTGTTCTTGTCACTTCCATCTTTTCCTATGGCTGTTCATTGTTCTCTTTTTTTAAATTTGAGCATTGTATATTTAAAATTAATTGTCAATACTTTGAGAACTAGAATTATATTATCTTTTTACAAAGATTCAGATTTGCTTCATAAAGGATATTCGCCCTACTCATAATCCAAGATTTATTAATCTAATTTCAGGTTTTGAGATGATTTAAAACTAGACTAGAGACCTGTGAGGACCATTATAACTTTTCTAGATGCAGCTCTTTGGGTTTCAACCCAAGGTGTAGGGCTTTTATTAGACCCCCTTCTCTTATTCTGAGGCTTCCAAATCATGGGTATGATGCACTGGTCTAACTGGATCAGATAGGGTTTTAAGCAGTGTTATACATTCCTTAGAGTATTTTCCTCTGTAGTGATTATAGAATCACTGGGGTAGGAGTTTTGGATATTTATATTTTGACAAATATTAATATAGTATCCTTTTTGGTCAATTGTACTTAAATTGTGAGTAAATACTAATGCAAATTTTGTTTTCTGCTTTTTTGTCTACAGGTCTCAAAAACTTTTAACAAACAGGTAACTCATGTTGTGTTCAAAGATGGTTATCAGAGCACTTGGGACAAAGCTCAGCAGAGAGATGTAAAGCTTGTCTCAGTGCTATGGGTTGAAAAGTAAGTTTTTCTTGATTTTTTTCTCTTAAGTATCTACTGTTGGTAAAGTGTAAAGATACATTATGCATATCACAGAGCCAGCCAGATAAAGTGTGCATTTCATCTTTTCTCTGCCTCTTTCTTGGGCAAATAATTTAGTATCTTCTAGCCTCAGTTTCTTTAACTGAAAAGCAGGTATATATTTTTTAAGTGAAAAATCCTTACCTAATCTATTCCTAGTCTTGTCTTCCTTCCTATAACTTGAGGAAAAGCTACCATTGAGAATTTGGAGTATATAGTTTCAGACTTTATACTAAGCGTATTAAATATATATATATAAGTTAATAATGTAGTATCTATTTCAAAACTGCTAAAATAACAGCATTTAAATGTTCTCACTATAAGAAATTAAGTATGTGAAGTGATGGATGTGTTAATTAGATAGATATAATCATTCCACATGGTATACATATATCAAGACTTCAGGCTCGGCGCCTATAGCTCAAC